GATCATGAACAGAGGTTTTCTATGGGTTGGGAGTTCGGGATAATTTTTACTTTCCTTGTGTATATTTGGATCCTAATTTTTTTGTACAATGAACATGTACATTTTTTGTAAGTGGACATTAAATATGAAGCTAAATTCAGAACACTGTGGGAAATGTGAAATATGAAAAGGACTGCTTCCCACTCAAGGAACTTTTCTTGGTGCAAGAGGAATTTCTTGCTAATGGCTTCCAGGCTATTAATAAAATGAGAAAAAAAAATTCTTAACGTCTAGGATACATCATGAAAAACCTGGAATAACAAGCTATGACTTATTTTTTATTACATAAAGAATTCTTCTCTTGAATGATATGATTTATATTTATGCAAAAGTTGCCTCATGAAAGTTAATAATTCTGTCATCAGCATACTATAGTTAGTATAGAGTGAAAGTGTTAAGTAGTTTATTTCTTCTAATCTAAAAAACATGGCCTAAAATGTTTCTTTATAATTTCTATTTATCTTTCCTAAGCTATAACTACTTCAAATTATTTTTAGTCACAATTTTAAAACCTAAGGGTAAGGTTCTCGTTTGTGCAAAATTATCTTATGGCTTTTATTTAGCTATATTTTCATCTGCTTCCTCTGATAGAATTGAGTGTGAGAAAGGATTTTGGAGATAATTTGATACCCTCTCTTTTGACTGAGAGGAGAACTAAGGCCCACAGAGGTTCAATTACACATAGCTGAGGACTACACCAGCAAAGCTAGAAAGGATCACTCTAGACTTCTCTAGACTCATTTGCCTTTCAATTTTATATTAAAAAACTAAGAGGAGAATTCCTTAATATGAAATGCTTGTTTGACTTAAGAGAAGTATTTATGTTAGTACTTAACATACTGCCTTTTATTTTTTTTTTATTTTTAAAAAATATTTATTTATTTATGCATACAAGAACTTGGATATAGGCCAGACATTTGAGGGGGTAAGAGGATTCACCAGAGACAGAGTGGGGAACAGAACAGTCAGATTGACTGCAATACACTGCTGAGGGGAGCAGCAGGCGAGTCAGGAAAGGTCTGCTGCGCCATGTGGGTAGCTCCCTGGCTGGGGATCAAACTTGTGCTGCAGTGGCTGCAGATAGCTTGATAGGTTGCATCTTAACCCCTTGTGCCACCAGGGAGGCCCCAATACTGTCTTGTATTAAGATGTCCCAGTAATCCTTCTGAGATGACGCTGCAGGAGGGCAGCACCACGTGGCTGGGGTGCAGGGTTCTCTCCAGAACTTGATGGCTATTTTGACAATTTGGCTACAACCAATGGTGCATGGGGCAGAGAATCCAAATAACTCAATGGATACATCAACATTTAGGCAGCACTAACACAAAACGTCTTTTTTATAAATTTCCAAAAGGATCATAGATTTTTGCAACTCAGATTTGAAAGTAAGACAGTGATCTAGAATTTTGAACTTTCCTTCTGAATGATAGAAAGGATCCAGTTGAACCATGAAGGGGCAGAATGGATACATCTTTAAGAAAAAAGGAGGCTCTTTTTGGATTATATTTTTTAGGTCCCAAGGATAACCTTCGGTACCCTTGGTCAGACTATAAGCTTCTTGAAGACAAGGACACTTTCCTTAATTTTCTTTGTTTCCTCTCCAGTTATCAGAGCTCGTGGCACAGAGCCAACACTCAGCAAATTATCTTAAAATGTGACTCTAAGAACAGATGGGAAGGGTCTCAAGAGACTAGAAGGAGTGGCTGTCACTAATGCTGCAAGAGAATAGCAGCTTTGTGTTGACCTGAAATGTCCCAGATATATACAGCATTCTATGGTTATTTACACAGTAAAGTTATTTGGTTATTTACTTTAATAAAGAAATAAAAATATTAAATTCAAATTTCCCAAGACTGTAGGACTTTATATCTGAGAATGAAAATAGTTTCATCATAGGGATTTGGGTTTACCAATATGACAGAAAATACTATTGGAATAGATTTTAGTTTAACTTACGTTAAATTAACTTTATGTTCCTCATATGTCTCAGGAAAAAGGTGAGAAAAAAAATCTAAAAGTAAAAACTCTCAAAGAGACTTCCCAGCTCCATTTCCAACAACAGGTCAAAAAGTAAGGCTACAAGGGCTTCTAGATTTCTTATGAGAAACGGTAGGAAGAAAAATACAATGACTCACTTTACAATAATGCCCTTTCTTCCCTAAAGTACACATCACGATTCCCACATCCCTGCACATGGAAGTCAGCACAGCGCTTTTGCTACATGGCACATCTCCCTACACCAGCTCACTTGGTGGACAGAGAAATGCCCACAGTGACAGCAGGGGGACAGACCTCCCTGATGCTGTGAGGGTTAGGGGCAGTCTGGCTACACTCACTCTGTCCCCCAAAGGAGGGGATTACTCCCTTTGTACTGTCTGATCTGGAACAGCGGTTCTTTTGTGTAGTCATCCTTAAGAACCAGGGAGCTAAGTGCAGCTGGCTTCCTTGTGTAAGAGCTGAAAGAAACCCCTGGCAGACCAGTTCTGAATAGGCAATCCCAGATTTCCTAACCAATTGTCATTTATACACTAAGGATCCAAAAAGAAAAGAAAAGAAAAAAGAAAGACAAAGGAAAAGGAATCCTCTACTTGGCTGCAGGAGGAGTCAGGCACCCTTGTTCAGGTCCTGGCTTACTCTCTTGTGAACATGGAAGAGTGAGTTCAATAAGCAGTTAGAGGGAAATAACTGAAGTCTGCTGCCAAAGAATACTCGAATGTAACTACTTAGGAAGCCAATTTCTCAAGCCTTGTCAGGTCAGATAAATCTTGAGAATAATTAATTACCAAGAGAAAAGGAGATGGATCTTGACTTTTGGGGACTATCACAGCATACTTATAAAAGAATTCAAAACTTTCAGGAAGCTCTGGGCATCTGAAGTAGACAACAGGGAGCAAGAATGGCTTCATTTCAGAAGGCGGCAATTTGGGGAGGGAAGAAATGTTTATTTATCCTTAAATAGCTGAGACAGGCAGGTTCTTCAGAGGTCAAATATCAGTGAGGATAAGTTCCAAGGCACCTGATTGGCAATTGGCAGGACTAGGTCCTTGTTTAAATGGGATATTTTATTATTTCTAGGGACAAGAAGTTTGAGGAAGGGGTGGGCTGTCGGCCTAGAAGAAGGGGAGGTGCACAGGTGAGCTAGCCAAGTGGAGGGAGAGCATGCAGGTTATTACGGGGTGGGGCATTGAGTAGTGTCAGGCTTCAGCTGACTATTGTGTGTGGTTGGGAAAATGTGTATGTGAAGGGACAGACAGAAGTGGAGAAAAAGTAGCTTATGAGACAGAGACCACATTTAGAGGATCACTCAAAACAATGAGAGATTCTCTTATCAATGGCATTCTTATACGTAACTTGGTTAATTCTGATAGTGTTATACTAGATATCAGAATATTTTGAAGATAAGAAAACTGAACTGGCTCTTGTAAAATACTCAAACTAGGCAACTTTTCAGAATGAAAGCTCTTAATATTTAGAAAGTCTTCCCGATTATAGGATTTATATGACAGCAGTACAGATAACTCACATCTGTATAAATACCAGTGTCCCCAAGAAGGATAATATTTCATATGTATTGAGATGTTTCAATTCACCCTTAATAATTTAAGATATTAAGTATTAAGATTACTTATCATAAAACATCTAATTTCTTCTATATTTCATCTGAAAGCAATAATACTTTGTGGTACAGTTAGCTGTTGTTTTCTTAAACCACAGATCAATTTCTTCATTGCTCTGAGAATCAGTTAAGCCATATTAAAGTGTATGCCAACAGCATTACTACATTAGTGTTTATTAATTCACTAAGGTAACTCAACATCTTGGAAATATTTCAAAGAACAAGCGTTTAGTACTTTTCACTGAATTTGCTTTATTTATTTCATTTAAGGTATACACTTAGAGTTTTTCTAATGGATGAAGAAATAAGGGTCACACTGGCTTTTTCAAATAGCTCATCAACCCCTAACAAAGGAATCTAGATTTAAATATGAGTTCTCTGCTCTTTACTTTTCCTGGGTCTCCATTCACCCCCACAGCCTCTAAAACACTCCCCTTATTTATTTATTTAAGATGAGATAAGAGCTTGTTTCTGACCATATGGGCCAAATTTCAAATTTCATATGGGTTAAAAAATAATAAACATAGGGGTAATCTAATATTCCCATAAATTATTTTAAAAGCATAATAATCATGTCACACTTCATATCTAGGTTTTATGTCTGATACATTTTTCCTTCTTTGTTAAAGTTTTAAGTCATACACCAAGAAATATGAAAAAAGTTTATATAGAAGTTCAGATAGATTGGACTGTGACCACAGCAAGACACACACACACACACACACACACACACACACACACTCTCTCTCTCTCTCTCAAGCATATACTAAGCTTAAGAAAAAATGAACAATGCAAAGTTTTAAGTCATTTTTCTGTGTCTGTCTGAATAGAGAACTCCGACGAAACAGAAATAGAACTTGATAGAGCTCAAGACTAAGCATGAGAAAAGTGAGAGAGAAAAATGAAGCCTAAGAAATAACACACTGGGGAAAAGTACTGGTTCTCATGAAAATGTCAGTGATTCACCATGGAATAAAATTCAAAAGCCACTGACCCCAAAGAAATCTTCCATTGGAAACATGTGGATTTTGCTTCATTTCATTTAAAGACTGCTTCATTTCATTTAAATACTACATAAACACCATCACAGTTCTTGTGATATGCTGCTTTCTCTTTTAAAATTGATACATGCTGATCTCACTAAATCTTAAGGGGTCATCAGGAAAAAAAATCATTTCAATTAATCAATATTTATAATGCAATATAGGTAGAATAATTTTGGTCCCTTAAAATGCTGACTGCTCAACAGATGACTGATGACAGCCAACATAATTTTTTTTCTATTTTTTACAATAACTCATCAGTTAAGCATACTTATCTGTTTATAGAATTTTTTTGTACATACCAATTCTTCATTCTGAATTGCCAAAATATCACAACTGGATGTAAGCTGACTTACACAGACCACAAACCTGTCAGGGAACACACGCAGTTCTGTAGAAAATGAAGAAAACAAAGTTACTAAAGGCATCAAAAGAAAACAAATTATAAACACAGAAATGCTCGGTCCCATGTTTTTAAGTGATGGCAATAAGCCTGTACACGTATAAGACATGTGTGTCTTTTCTGGTCCCTTCCTTTCAGTGTTTGCCATCAACAGGGAGGGGCGAACACAAAGCTCTGGGGGAAAGCCCAAGAGGCTGCAAATTGGTCCACCTGAGCCCCCGGACTATTATACCACATGAAACCCCCAGGCAGGGCCTTTGCAGCCTTCCTTCTGTGTCAGTTTGCTGTTTTGAGTTTAGAGCTCACATTTGGGAAATAGGATATCGTTTTCTAATGAGTACATAGACTTACACACACTGAGAAAGAATATTGGATAAAATCTAAAAATATGACTCATCAATGTTATTACTAGTTAGTTAACTTATCATGTCTTTGGTCAACTCGTCTTAGAGAGCTCCCCTTAACTAGAGGGCAAACTCCCAATCTGCATCAGACTATGAAAACACAAGTTTTATTAATGGGGGTTTAGGGATCAAACTACTAAGGAAATAGTTAAATATGAAAGAGTAAAGGTATGACTATACCACAGTCACAGTAACCTATTATTACAACTTTAAAGTAAAAACCATTGCTGTACAAGTGTGAAGGCTAAATCAATCCCAGAACTGGACTCCCCAACATTCAATGAAAGAAATATAAAATGATAAATGCATATATAGCTCTTTTTCTCTCATCTGTCTGTCTACCATCATTCATTCACCCAGCCTCTACCCATGTCTGGAGAAATGTTTACTGATGCTAACAGTATATTTTCTGGGTAGGTGAGGAGTGTCTTCTCCTCTCCTTGGTTATACTGCTTGAATATTTTTGTAATATTCACATATCATATGTATGTAACAGAAATAAGGCATTTTTTTAAAAAGAGAAAACTTTCCTCTTAGAAATGACCAGTCTTTTTTAAAAAAATGATATTATGAATCAAATAAGTGAAGCATTTTACATATATCACACATTTCCAGCAATGAATGACAACATGAGGGTATAACTGCAGTAATCCATAATGTATTTCAATCTGCTGCACTCTGAACTCAAACATGAAGGTGTCAATTATGCAGACACACAACTTTAATGGGGTTAACACCTTACACTACTTGTTTAGGTTAAATTACACCAAAGACTTAATGAGTTGATATTTTTTAATGAGTTGATGCTCCAGTAACAACTCTCTTTTTACTCTTCCTTGGACTACTATAGTCTCTTTGGTGACTATTCTTTCCTATTCATCCTACTCAGTACAAGAAAGTTAACAGGGCTAACAATCAGCTCCACTTATCCTGCTGAAAACCCCATCATGGCTTCTCACCGCCCACTACGCGCCATGCAAACATTCATTTCCAAAACTGAGAACAAACCTATTATTCTTGTCTTACCTCCCTAAGTTCCTCATGTAGAAACCCACATTTAAGGGGGCCTAGGTGTGTTTAAACTTTGACTCCACGTAGATATTGTATCAGACTAGCTAGAGATTAACTTTGAAAAGCCAGGAATACAAGATTATCAAATAATATTTATTCATTAATTATTAAAATATCTTACTAAAAAAATGATAAGTAGCCTGCTTCCTGTTTTATGGAAAGGGAAACTGAGTTACAGATTTCTTCATTTGCCACAGACTCCACAAAGATCATAACAATGAAACACAACTCATTAGTGGATTAGAATCAGAATTCAAAATGATCATTTCTATCAAACAATTCCTGTATTTCACCCTTCTATTTCTTCCTCTGAAAAATAAGAATGTCTAAATGACAGATTTTGAAAATTTGGTGCCAGGGTTATAAAAGCAGAAAGCAGTACCTATACTTCTTTAGTCTGGTCAGGTCATCACGAAGATTTGCATTATTTCAATATTTATATAAAGATTCAGGTAACAGCAGTCCCTACTATGAAGGGTAGTTAGGCTGTAATTTAACAGATAAATGTTAACTGTTTTATTTTACTGAAAGAACTGAGCAAAGCGGAAAGCCTCAGGAGAATAATAGATTCCAGTGACAAAGTTAAGAAAGTGCAGATAATTGTGAAAATTCCAAAAGTTAACCTCCATACAATTAATTTGAATGTCCCCGTTTCATATCTTAATACTAAATTAAATACTAAATTCATCCAAGGAAGTTCAGCTAGATTTTCTTTCCAATGCTCAGATCAACTTGTAGAATGGTCATTAGTGTCTGACTTTATTGTTGTTGGCCAAACATGTTTGACATCATTTCCTCAGTGGACATCTTGCTGGGGGGGAAGTGGTGGGGGAAGCTGGCCTCGTCATACATCTAGAACAGGCTCTGTGGCTCCAAGCCGGGAAATAATTTCTTGTGCACACACTTAACTCTGTATTCCAGAGTCTTGGTATACACAGATAATGATGAAGTTATTCATAGTTTAACTGCCTGTGGAGTCACTCTGGAAGCTCACTGACAGTGCTGAGATGCAGCAGGGAGCTAAAGCACAGCGTGGCCCAGTTCACTGTTGTCAGGAAGTACACACAGTGAAAATTTAAAAGAGAAAGAAAAAATGTTTGGACATACTCTTAATTAGCACTTCAATTACATGCTAGCAATGAAGTAAGAGTCTTCATTCCTTAATTTTTATTTATTTATTTATTTTTAAAGACACATATAAGAATTGAGGTACAGGCCAGAGGTGTGGAGCGGGGAGGATTCACCAGAGACAGAGTGGGGAGCAGAACAGGCAGATCAGCTGAAATACACTGCTGAGGGGAGCAGTGGGCGAGTCAGGAGAGGTCTGCTGCGCCATGTGGGTAGCTCCCTGCCCGGGGATCGAACTTGCACTGCAGTAGCTGCGGACTGCTTCTTAAGTTGCTTCTTAACCCCTTGCACCACCAGGGAGGCCCCAATTTTTATCCTTTCTTTAAGACGAACTAATTGTGCGAAATGTGTGATGTTCCCAAGAAATCAATTTCTTACCAGCACTCGGAGAGGGCCCGCAGCAGTAAAGGCGTGTCTCTCTCTTGAGGAAATAAGCAGTGATTTGAAAGCCATAGCCTGTAAAGTGAAAGAGAACATCACTAGATTATAAACTTGTTTGCCATTGAATGACATGGGCCTAATCTGCCATCCAGCACGCTGGCATTCACTAGTTATTTAGCTAATGAATAGAACAAAATTTAAGAGAAAGGGATAAACATTGCAATCTTAGCTCTTCCAGGAGGCCTGGACACAATCCTTGGAATGACCTCTAGTCCCTGAGGTGGCACAGTCACTTCATCTAGGAATAAATGGGAAGGTCTAATAGGCCTGAAAATCAGGTCCTTCAGAGGGGATGAATTCAGGCTGAGCTGGGGCATGGCTCTTGGCCACCTTCTGATAACTTGTTACCTAAAAACTCAATAAAACAATCTGTTAATGCCTATTTGAAGATGGGTGTATTTTGTCTGAACATAAGTGATTCTAATTCAAGTACACTAATTAGAAAGATGAAAAGAAATACTGTATGAGGAGCCCCCACCAAAAAAGAGAGCATTCCCCAATTCATCAAAAAGTCCTAAATGTAAAAGACTGAGAGCACCAAGTAAGTGTTGGCAAAATGTGGAGCACTAGGATTCTCATGAACTGCTGGTAAAGTACAAATTAGTACAAAGATTGTTTGATGATCTAAAGTGCAACTTATGCATGAAATACAGTGTTCACAATAGTATACTTTTCATAGCAGTCTAAAACTGGAACCAATGTAAATATCCATCAACAGTAAACTTTTTTCTAATTAAAAAGGTAGGGAGTGGGGCCTCCCTAGTGGCTCAAGGGTTTAAGATGCAACCTATGAAGCTATCCGCAGCCACTGCAGCATGATTCAATCCCCAGCCAGGGAGCTACCCACATTGCACAGCAGACCTCTCCTGACTTGCCCGCTGCTTCCATCAGCAGTGCATTTCACCCAATCTGCCTGTTCTGTTCCCCACTCTGTCTCTGGTGAATCCTCTCACACTCCCCCCTACATCTCTGGCCTGTATCCCAGTTCTTGTATGCACAAATAAATAAATCTTTAAAAAAAAAAAGGTAGGGAGTGGGTTAATTACCACAAAGTGAAATGCTACATTGCCCCCCAAAATAAATGAACTCTAAGTATAGATCATATCAGAAATAAAATCTCACAAACATAATTTTAAGTGAAAGAAGGAAATGGAAACAATTATTTCTCTTATAAGGGTGACAGCAGAATTTCAGATGAGTCACAGAAGGTACCAGTACAGTTCCTCCCTATCTCTTCTTCTGCACCCCCTTTCAGGTATAGACTACTCTGTTCTTGCCTTTTCTAAAAACAGCAGGTAAAAATGTTCCTCTAAACATAGTCCCTGCTAACAAAGTACCTGGTGGAAGAGTCAGAGGTAAAAGGCCCCCAGAAGGGGGTGAGAGTCTTCAGGTTCTGAGACACCATAAGGAAATTATGTCCTTAGAGACAGTATTTTATGCATGAAGTTGGAGGGGTGAGGAGCTGTCAGAGTCTTTAGACCCATCAGACCCTCCAAAGTCCATGACTATGACTGTTTGGAAATAAACTTGTATATAAAGAGCACAAAGAAATTTCCACTTTTACATTCAGCATCCTCTGACACCCCCTTTAGAAAGATTCAGAACATCAGTGATCACAGACTTAACACTGCATAAGCTATGACTTTGACAGCACAATTGTTTCAATCACAGGGACTGCAAAATAGCAGTGACAACTATGATAGGATAATCTCCAGGTTTACTGAAATGAAGTATATTATTTATTAACAGACTTGAAAAGGATTGCATTTTGGTCATGTGGCCTTTTCTGCTTAAAATATCAAACAAAATATGCACCCTGATGACATTATTCTGAGTGCTTTAAAACAAATACGTCATTCGTTAGGTCACTGAGCATGGAAGTGACTTCTGCATCTGTTTAGTCCTACTGCTGGCTGGAGGAGGGGGACTATAAAGGGGGAGTCCTTAACAACCTGAGACTCAAAAGTATACACAGAAAAAATTTAAAGTGATTCTCAAAGTGATGATTTACAGTAAGAGTCTTCCAAAGGACTGAGCCATGAGAACAACAAAATGAATCATTAAGTCAGAATGGCTTAGCTGGTGGTCATACTTCACACTTCCAGTTCTAGTAGATTAGAGTTCAGTCAGTATGTTCAGAAAAGTTTCCCTGCACAAAATCTCTGCAAAAAATGTTATTAGTAGGAAGGGGCTAAATCTAAAGTTTGACTATGAAAGATACAGTTTTGAGTTCAGGAAGCCTGGTATCTGGAGATACTGCCTGAGTGACAATTAAATCCTATTTGGTCAGCGAAACAATAAGATCTCAGTATAACACCTTCCTCTGTAGAAAAATAAAGTCGTGTAAGGCAAATTCTTACTAAATGATTTATTACTGAAATTACTAGGAGAACTGATTTTATTGATACCTTTCCCCCTTGATCTCCCACCCCAGGACAGGATTATGTTAAAGGGAATCATTTTTAAGCTGACCTCATGTTAGGGTTTCAATAAAAAACCTCCCAGAGAAGAGGCAGGTTTATTTTTTTTTTTTTTTTTCATTTTACTCCCCTAAAACTACTAATAGTGTGTTATTGACAAAAAGCCTTTCTGATATCATAAAAATTAACATATATTTCGTACGTTTCATATTTATATACTGTATTCTTTTTTTGTTTTTCAAGATTTATTTATTTATTTATTTATTTATTTATTTTTTTGATTACTACTTGCATTTTTATTTTTTTTTTATTTTATTTTTTTTTTTAATATTAAATTTTATTTTTATATTCCCCCATACAATTGCAAACGCCCCATTCTGACCCCAATCCTTCCCCTCCCGCCCCCCACCCCCCAAAAAGTGTCTCTGGTTCATAGTTTTTTGTTGATTTTGATTTTCACTTTCTTATATTCATTTTCCTGGTCCCTTATTTAAGTTTTCTAGATTCCTGCTATGAGTGAGACCATCCGGTATTTTTCTTTTTCTTTTTGGCTTATTTCGCTGAGCATGATCCCTTCCAGCGCCATCCATGTTGCTGCAAATTGCATGTGTTTATCTTTTTTGAATGCTGAGTAATATTCCATGGTATATATGTACCACATCTTCTTGATCCAGTCATCTATTTTTGGGCATTTGGGCTGTTTCCAAAGCTTAGCTATTGTAAATAGTGCTGCTATAAACATAGGGGTGCAGGTGTTCTTTGGAATTGATGTTTCTGTGTCCTTTGGGTAAATACCTAGGAGTGGAATTGCTGGATCATATGGAAGCTCTATGTTTAGTAGGTCCAGAAATCTCCACACAGCTCTCCATAGTGGTTGGACCAGTTTGCACTCCCACCAACAGTGCAGAAGAGTTCCTTTTACTCCACATCCTCGCCAACATTTGTTGTTGCTAGTTTTTTTAATATGTGCCATTCTCACTGGTGTGAGATGGTATCTCATGGTAGTTTTGATTTGCATTTCCCTGATTACAAGTGATGTTGAACATTTTTTCATATGTCTGTTGGCCATTTGCATTTCCTCTTCAGAGAAGTTTCTTTTTAGCTCTTCTGCCCATTTTTTGACTGGATTATTTTCTTTGTTGTTGCTGAGTCTCATCAGCTCTTTGCAGATTTTTGTGATCAGTCCTTTATCATTAGTGTTGGGTGCAAAAATGTTCTCCCAGTTGGTGGGGTTTCTCTTTGTTTTTGTTATTGTCTCTTTGGCTGTGCAGAAGCTCTTTAATTTGATGTAGTCCCAGCTGTTTATCTTTCTCTTCACTATCACTGCTTTGGGTGATGTGTCTGTAAAGATGTCTTTGATATGCAAATCCCGTAGTGTTTCGCCTATATTTCCTTCTATGTATTTTATGGTTTCAGGTCTTATGTCTAGTTCTTTAATCCATTTTGAGTTGATTTTTGTGTATGGTGTGAGGTAGTGGTCAAGCTTCATTCTTTTGCATGTAGCGACCCAGTTTTCCCAGCACCATTTATTGAACAAACTTTCTTTGCTCCAATGCATAGTCTTTGCTCCTTTGTCAAAGATTAGTTGACCATAAATCTGTGGGTTTATTTCTGGATTTTCTATTCGATTCCATTGGTCTGTATGTCTGTTCTTGTTCCAATACCATGCAGTTTTGATGATTATGGCTTTGTAGTATAGTTTGAAGTCTGGGAGTGTGATGCCTCCATTTCCTTCTTTTTTTTTCAGTAGAGCTTTGGCTATTCGGGGTTTTTGGTGATTCCATATGAATTTCATCAATAATTGTTCTATTTCTTTGAAGAATGCCATTGAGATTTTGATTGGAATAGCATTGAATCTGTATATTGCTTTTGGTAGGATGGCCATTTTAATAATGTTTATTCTTCCAATCCATGAGCAGGGGATGTCTTTCCATTTCTTTGTGTCTTCTTCTATTTCTTTTAACAGTGTTTTATAGTTTTCTTTGTATAGGTCCTTTACCTCTTTTGTTAGATTTATTCCCAAATATTTGATTTTTTTTGTTTCGATAATAAAAGGGGTGGTTTTTTTGATTTCTTCTTCTTCAGATTTATTGTTTGTGTATAGGAAGGCTACTGACTTTTGCGTGTTGATTTTGTATCCTGCCACTTTACTGAATTGATTGATGAGTTGAATTAGTTTTTCTGTGGAGATTTTGGGGTTCTCTATGTATATTATCATATCATCTGCAAATAGTGATAGTTTGACTTCTTCTTTTCCTATTTGGATTCCTTGGATGTCTTTCTCTTGTCTTATTGCTCTGGCTAGGACTTCCAGTATTATATTGAAAAGCAGTGGTGAGAGTGGACATCCTTGTCTTGTTCCAGATCTTAATGGAATTGCTTTCAGCTTTTCACCATTGAGAATGATACTGGCTGTTGGCTTGTCATAGATGGCCTTTATGATGTTGAGGTATGTTCCTTGTATCCCAAGAATTTCAAGGGCTTTTATCATGAATGGGTGTTGCACTTTGTCGAAAGCTTTCTCAGCATCTATTGATATTATCATATGGTTTTTATATTTCTTTTTGTTGATGTGTTGGATAACGTTGATTGATT